GGCGGCCATGTCTGCCTTGCGTCACGCCCGCCGCCGGCCCGCACCGCGAATACCGCGTATGTGGCTGAGCCATCGCACGAAGGCCGGGAGTGCGCGAATATAATAACAACGGCAACCAGAAAATTGGGGCTGAAAATGAGGGAGGTAAAGGGAGGGGAAGAGGGGGAGGGGGTCGGCCAGTATTGCAGGCCCTGCGCCCGCCAGGCCCCAAGTCGTGAGCGGTATCGACATTATTTCGGCTCACGTGTGTGTTTGCGATTGGGTTATATGCATAGGGCCTTGTGCGGCGTGTATTGGGCTCCGTCCGCCACGCCGGGGGAAGGGGAGGGAAGCATGCCGCCGAAGTCCCCGCCTCCCCGTTTCAAAAATTATTATCATCATTATTATTAATACACTCCTACTAGACGCAGCGGCGGCGGGAGGCCCCCGGGGGCAGTGAGAGCCCGCCCCACGGCCGTGTGGACCACGAAGGGAGTTGGGCGGGGGCTGCATGCCAGCCGAGCGGGTGGGCGCGTCTCGCTCGCAGAAGGGCGGGGGCCGCCGACAAAGTGGACGGACTGAAGCATATTATGTTCTTTGTGGGACCAGCGCGCCGACTATAGGATCGAACCATCCTAATTTCAGCTGGAGAGGGTGTCGGCAGTCGGTGAGTAGGGGGAGAGCGGAGGGGGAAGACCAGTGAGGCATAAAGTACGCACCCGTCAATGAGGTGCACGACGACGGCGCTGTCCCTCCTCCCTCCGCCTCCCCGCTCAAGGACGCCGTGCTCCCGGGCGTGGGAGAGCAGAGAGGTGGGAGGGAGGGGGAAGAGGGGGGACGCAGCAGGGGGGCGCCGCCGCCGCGCGACGCAAGCCGTAGCGGAGCCGTTGCACCTGACGCCCCCCCTCCCCCCTCTCCCCGCAGTCACGCTAGCCGGCGCCGCGCAGCGAGGATCATTTATATCGAGCATGACCTGTCCCAATGCTGGAGCCGGACCGTCGGCTGTGTTGTTTGCATGCGTGCGCGGCTGCTCGGCCGGGACGGGACGGGCCGGGACTGGGCGGCCTTTCTCTGCATCGCCACTCCCACGCATTATACGCTCCACGCTCCACCCCCCGCCTCTCGTAGGGCGCCAGTGGCGTGACGCGAGGGCGCCAGGGGGGCGACAAAGAGATGGAGAGAGACGGGAGGACAGGGTGAGGAGAAGGTGGAGTCATCACAACATGCGTGCTCTAACTCTCTCCTCTTTATGCTCTCTCGTCTTTCTCTCTCTCATTATCGGCCGCTCTTCTCGCTCGCTCTTCTCACTTGCTCTTCTCGCTCGCTCTTCACACTCACTCTTCTTGCTCGCCCCTTTTTAGCTTCTTCTTCTCGCTCGCTCTTCTAGCTCGCTCTTCTAGCTCGCTCTTCTAGCTCGCTCTTCAAACTCGCTCTTCTATCTCGCCCTTTTTAGCTTCCTCTTCTCGCTCGCTCTTCCAGCTCGCTCTTCCAGCTCGCTCTTCTAGCTCGCTCGCTCTTCCAGCTCGCTCTTCTAGCTCGCTCGTCTAGCTACGCCACCGCTGTTGTGTTGTGCGGCCGAGCGCGGGAGCGGCCGCAGGTGAGGTTAGGCCGGGCCGCTGCGCTATATGGGATGATACGGGCGGAAGGCTGTTAGGAGATAAGTGCTCTGCTCCTGTGTGTGAGCACAGGCACAGGACGGGGCAGGGCTGGCGGGGGAGAGGTGGAGGGGGGGGGGGGTAGCTGCTCTCCCGCGGGCCGCGCGGGTAGCGCTAAGGTCACGTTCAACGGTGTGTTCGCCCACCGTGCAAAGCCCTCCCGCCTCATCCCGGCACGCCCCCAACCCCGACACATACACCTGCAGCAGTAATTATTTTACGTCCTGCAGG